GGGGGGTTAGATGTGGTCGTTTGTACAGGGGGGTGTCCTGCACGTGTGACCTTTTTACGGCGCTCGCAGCTGCATAATATGAGCACCAAGGGGTGGATGCCAGCAGAGAAGTCCTTACAGGGAATCGCGCTTGCTCTGCTCACATCTCTAGCCTCAACAGCACAAAGTCTGCTTTGACTATCAAGGCACCCCGGAAATAGCAGTTCACAAGAGAGTGACAAACATACAACAGAAGTAGAAGAAACATGACGATAGTAATGATGAGGAAATAAAAAGCAACAGTTCCCTGTTGCAATTCCGGTACAGTTATGAACATAACATTAACATTGATGAATCAGTCCATTTACAATTCTACTGTGCGTTAGAACATGGGTACTGTCCCCCCTTTGGGAATGGCCTAAAGACACTTCAGTCAATGGCACTGCCCAGGAGGGGGGGGGTGTTTAGAACAGATTAGACTGAATGTACGATTGTATCTATTATCTATTTGTGGTGGCCGAATTTTGCTTTTCAAAAGGCTTTTTAATGGCAGCATCGATCGACATGCGGTTTTCGTCAAAAGATTCTTTAAAATATTCTCCAGATCATGACGCCTTTTGTTTTTTCAATTTTACAGCAACAAGCTAAATTTCTTTATTTCGCCGATCGCTTTTGTAGGCCGACGCTTCTGTCTCTGCAATTTTAGAAAATCCGGGGCGGAAGTGATATTTTGCGAGGCGCATTTTGTTTTGAGAGTATAGATCTAAATCTAAACCTTCTAATTTTTTGCATCTCTCAAGATTTATTGTTCCATTCCAGTAGAGTAGGCCAATGACTTTTAGTTGATGTTAATGCACCGATCATTCCTTTCATCGAAAGGGGGCCCAGCTAGTATTATATAAAAGCGAAAGCATTACGTTTGTTGTTTACCCATGCCTTTCCTCATGTCAGCCTTGTAAAACTGTTTCTCTTTCTTTTTCAGGGTTCAGATGTCAAAAGTTTTGAGCATCCATTTTTGCCCCAACGCCCACAAACACCGCTAGGAACTTCTGCGGCAGCCATCTTGGTTAATGACGTCATCATCGCTTCAGCCTCGAGCTCGGAAATCACCGTCCACGTAAATCTATCTACTTGGCGACATCGCTCAAGCGCGTCATGCGACGTCATTAAGTCTATTTATAGCTCTTGGGGGGTTCCCCCGAGCGCCAGCGGAAGTCACGTCAACCTCGCACGGTGGATCTGCGGGAGATTTTTCGCGCCGCTTCGCAGACGTCTGTGTTTCTGGAAGATCCAGCAACCCCGCGAAATTTTCGTCTGTTTGGAAGTCCTGATCAGAAATCGATCTGCACTCGTTGTTGAAGAAGCTCGCGTTAACGTAACAAAGAATTGAATAATAATAATAATAATAATAATAATAATAATAATAATAATAATAATAATAATGATAATGATAATAA